CTCCCAAGTGGTGCACTCTCCAGTGCGCCACTGGGCCGGCCCAACTTCTTCAACTTGATAGAGGACATCCATGAAAAACCTACAGTTAACAGCATACTTATTAGTGATTCACCGAATGCTTTTTCCCAAAAAGCAGAAACAGGTCAAGGATATCTGTTCTCACACTTCTATTCAGCATTGTACTGGTGATTCTAGCCAGTGCAATAAGGCAAGAAAAATAAGCAAAATGCATTCATATCAAAAAGGAAAGCTAAAACTTTTTATTTGTAGACAAAATGATTGTCTATGTGGAAATCCAGTAGAATCCACAATAAAGCTACTAACGTGAGTTTAGCAAGATCGCAGAATGCCAGATCAATATGCACAAGTGAATTATATTTTTATACACTATCAATGAGCAATCAGAATTTGAAATTTAAAAAGCAATACTGTTTACAATAACATTAAAATATGAAATACTTAGAAATACATAGGACATTAGGTGTGCAACATATGTGTGCTGAAAACTATAAAACATTGCTAAGAAAAATTGAGGAAGACCTAAATAAATGGAGATATATACTGTATTCATGGGCCAAAAGACTATATTGTTAAAATGTCAATTTTCCTCAAATAGGTCTATAGATTCAGCACAATCCCAATCAAAATTTCATCAAGCTTTTTTTGTAGAAAATGACAAACTGATTCTAAAGCTCATATGGAAATACAAAGGACCTAGAATATCTGAGAAAACTTTGAAATAGAAGAGCAACGTTGGAGAACTAATGGTACTTGATTTCAAGCATTATAAATCTGTAATAATCAAGAACTCATGGTATTGCCATAAATATACCAATAGACAAAACGAACAGAATAGAGGGTTCAGAAATATACTTATACATATATGGAGAACTGATTTTTAATAAAAGTGCAAAGGCAATTCAACAAATACTAAATAGTCTTTTTCAGCAAATGGTGCTGGACAATTGGATATCTCATACCATGTACAAAAATTAAAATGGATCATACACCTAAATGTAAACCCTAAGATGATAACATTTCTACAACAAAGCATAGAAGGAAATCTTTGAGACCTTAGATTAAACAAAGATTTTT